CAGCCTCCCGAGTAGCTGGGATTACAGGCGCCTGCCACCACGCCCAGCTAATTTTTGTATTTTTAGTAGAGACAGTGTTTCACCATGTTGCCCAGGCTGGTCTCGAACTCCTGACTTCGGGTTATCTGCCCACCTCAGCCCCTCAAAGTTCTGAGATTACAGGCATAAGCCACTGCGCCCAGCCAGAAAAGTTACTTATTTTAAACTTTAGATCGTGCTTGGCAGAGTGAGCTGCTCATTCTGCTTGGGGCACATGGAACTGATACCAGCAGTGAGAACAGAATCACCTGGGCCATCCCATGCCTGATTCATGGGCAGCCTCACTGAGAGCAGTGGCAGGTAGCGTCACCTGCTCCATTTCAGTGGCTTTTTCCTCTTTACTCTTTTTTTCAGTATTCCTGGTTGAATTTGTGTAGTGGAAAGATCATATGATGCAACTCTACCATAATAGAATTTATTTGACAAGCTAGTGCAGTTGATATTAATGAATGTAAACTTCACAGGATTAGACAGGCTATGTGTTTCACTATATTTTTGTATCTTTGGGTTCTACAAAATATACTAGAGTGTCACATAATTCAAGAAGAGATTTCAGGAACGTGGATGTTAACTATTAATAGTTTGAAAATGATACTATCTGGGGGTTTCCTTTTTTTTCCACGTCTGTCCAACATATGAAGAAAACTATTGGGATATTATTTTGCCTTATGCAGTAGATGGCTAGTGGTTGTGAATTGTGTTTTAATAAGAACCTGTTCTGTTTGTGACTTCAGGATTTTTTATTGGTGGACCTTCTAATATGATTAGTTCTGCTATTTCCGCGGACTTGGGTCGCCAGGAGCTCATCCAAGGGAGCAGTGAGGCCTTGGCCACTGTCACAGGAATTGTTGATGGTTCGGGGAGCATTGGAGCTGCCGTGGGCCAGGTGAGAGAACAGGAGAGGGGCTGGAATTCTAATGTCTTCCCTCAAAGGCGCCTGAACGTGAACCTGCCCTCTGGGCCTCAGTAGGTGGCACTCTTGTGCTATAGAACGCTGTTCCGAGAGCCCAAGGACTTCCGTCTCCTCTCAGGACCAGCTGATGCCTCCTAATGTGGAAGAACTCTCCATTTTCTTTAGTTCCTTTTTTCTACTTATACTTCTAGATTCTTCCGGTCTGCAAATAAGCTAAGACCTCATGAGACAGACAGATCCTTCTGCCCCAGCCCACCACCCCCTTCTTTCTTTCCAGGCTGAACTTGGTGTTCCATGGCCAGGGGCGCTTCTTGTTATCCCCACCTGGCATGTGGACCCCACCATTGCTGTCTCCTGTCTCCCTCTCCCAGACACTCTACTGCACACATGTTCCTTCCTGGGCCCCACCAGACATGGCCATGGACTCTGCAGCTGCTTCTGAATCACTTGCTCTACTTCCTGTGTGTCCAAAAATCTCTGACTGTATCTCAAAGAGTGGCCCATAAGTGTCTGGTATCAGAATCATCTGGGGCACTCTAATTAAAGTACAGAACACCAAGCGTACTACAGGCTCGCTGAGTTAGAACCTACAGATCTGTATTTTCAACAAGCTGCCTCGGTGATTCTTCCGCACTCGGATGTTTGAGATCCCTACACTACGATTGGCCTACTATACTTAGAACTATTTACGTTGACCTTTTTTTTTTTTTGGCATAAATTCAGGCTTTCTCTGGGACAGATATTTCTTTTCTGGCACAGTAATGAGTCATGCCTCTTCCAGGATATACCACTACAGATTGTAGAGTACTAATTTTGCTAAAAGATGGATTTGAGAGTCATCTGTATGGATAAAAATAGTTGAACCTGTGGAAGTGAATGAACCATTTAATGGGGAAAGAGAATGTTGGCCGAGCCTCAGGGAATGCCCAGTGGTCAAAGAAAGAGGAAGGCAGCAGAGTAACCTATAGTCAAGGGAACTGCGTTTGAGAAAGCGTTAGTAAGGTCATGGATGTAGAGAGGTCAGTAGAAGGAGAACTGAAGGATTTGTCTCTTAGGCTCTTAGTTTTGACATCTAGGAGGTCATTAATAGCCTTGACGATTATTGTTACTTGCTTGGTGGGGGTGAATTGCTAATGTCTGATTGCTAGTGGTTAATGAGAGACAAGTATTGAGGTAAAGTAAGCCATGTTAATACTTTGACTACCTAGCCGTATTTTAATAGTCTATATGCGCTTGTTAATGTCTGTCCCTGCCACTGTAACATAAGCTTCCTGAATGTGGCATTTTGTTGTATGTTCTTCTGTCACCTTAGTACCGAGAACAGTGACTGGCACACGGTAGACATTACTTGTGGAATGAACGATTGATATGCTTAGCATATTTGATTATAAGACTAAAGGGCAAAAAACCCCAAAGAAACAAAAACCTTAGCAAAGACTTGAAAAATGTGCTTACCTGATCATGCTCTGGAGTGGGAATTGAAAAATGCTCCCAGCCGTCAGTTCAGATATTTTCGTCTTTGGGGTAGAGAGTGACTGCATTGGGCATCCTTTTCTGACATTATATTATTTTAAGTTATCCTTCATTTCGAATGTTTTCTTCACTAACTAAATGGGTGGATTATAATGAGTATTTCAGAGAGTTTGCTTTTATTTAGATTGCCTCACCTGCCAGTATCCAGATCCCTCACTGTGAACTTGGGTCCTAGACTGACCTTCATGGTCAGGGAAGCATATCTGGAGTAAGTCACTGTTAGCTTTACTCATTCCTCTTCCATGTTGAGTTTTGAATGATTTCCCATTGCCTAAGGGGTGAAATCCCAAACTCTGTGACTTAGCGTTAAACTCTATCAGTCCTGTCCTTAGCCAGTGTACTAATTTACCCTGAATAACTTTGTTGCCCCCATCTTTCCCTGACTTCCCAAGTAAAGAATTGTTTCTCCTTCAGGTTGCCATAGCAGTTGATGCAGTCCTCTAGTAGGCGCCTGTCACGGTGTAAAGGGGATACACCGTGACAGGTGCTGTGCTTGTTTCCTTCGTCTTTGCATACCCAATGCTTAGTGCTTTTTTTTTGACACATACTAGGGGTTCAGTAAAATTAAATTGCAGTATCTGCCCAAGAGAAATGAGAATGAATGTCCACATTAAAACTTATACATGAGGCTGGGTGTGGTGGCTCATGCCGGTAATCCCAGCACTTTGGGAGGCCAAGGCAGGAGGATTGCTTGAGGCCAGGAGTTCAAGACCAGCCCAAGCAACATAGTGAGACCCTCATCTCTACAAAAAAAAAAAAAAAGTGAGCTGGGCATGGTGGTATGTGCCTGTCCCAACTACTTGAGAGGCTGAGATGGGAGGATTGCTTGAGCCTGGGAAGTCAAGGCTGCAGTGAGCCATGATCACACCACTCTACTCCAGCCTGGGTGACAGAGCCAGACCCTGTCTCTCTCTCTCTTTTTTTTTTTTGGAGACAGGATCTGACTCTGTCGC